CCAGCCTTGGTGAGCACCTAAGGCTCTGCCCCTCCCTGTAACAGGAGTGACCAGACCCCCCCCCCCAAAAAAAGAGAGAGAGAGACATGTCTCAAACAGAAAACAGTTCAATGTTCCAGGACTCATCATTTTAAGTGACCGAGAGATAGTCAGTCTATCAGATGCACAGTTCAAAACACTGGTGATCAGGAAGCTCACAGAATTGGTTGATTTTGGGTGCAAATTAGATGAAAAAATGCAGGTTATCATAAAAGACATGAAGGAAAATGCACGGACAACCAATAGTGATGGGAAGGAAACTGGGACTCAAAACAATAGAGTGGATCAGAAGGAAGAAAAAAACAACCAAACAGGAAAGAATGGAGAAATAAGAATTCAAAAAAAAAAGGAGGAGAAGCTTAGGAACCTCCAGGACATCTTTAAATGTTCCAACATCAGAATTATAGGGGTACCAGAAGGGGAAGAGGAAAAGCAACAGATTGAGCACGTATTTAACAAATAATAAAGGAGAACTTCCCCATTCTGGGAAAGGAAATGGACTTCCAGGAAATCCAGGAAGCTCAGAGAGTCCCAAAGAAGTTGGACCCAAGAAGAAAAACACCATAGCACATCATAATTACATTAGCCAAGGTAAAAACGAAGGAGAGAATCCTAGAAGCAGTAAGAGATAAGGGGACAGTAACCTACAAAGGAGTTCCCATAAGACTGTCAGCTGATTTCTCAAAAGAGACCTTACAGGCAAGAAGGGGCTGGAAAGAAGTATTCCAAGTCATGAAAGACAAGGACCTATATCCCAGATTACTCTATCCAGCAAAGCTTTCATTTAGAATGGAAAGGCAGACAAAGTGCTTCTCAGATAAGGTCAAGTTAAAGGAGTTCATCATCACCAAGCCCTTATTTTATGAAATGTTAAAGGGACTTATCTAAGAAAAGAAGATACAGAAAAAACATGTATAGTAAAAGGACAGCAAACTCACAATTATTAACAACCACACCTAAAGCAAAACCAAAAGAAACTAAGCAAACAACTAGAACAGGAACAGAACCACAGAAATGGAGAATCACATGGAGGGTTAGCAACAGGGGAGTGAGAGGAGGAGAGAGGGGGAAAAGGTACAGAGAATAAGTAGCATAGATTGTAGGTTGAAAATAGATAGGGGGAGGGTAAAAATAGTATGGGAAATGTAGAAGCTAAAGAACTTAAGTATGACACATGGACATGACTAAAGGGGGAGATGTGGGTGAGAGAGGGTATACAAGGTGGAGGGGAGTGAAGGGGGAAATGGGACAACTGTAATAGCATAATCAATAAAACATATTTTTAAAAATGTCATAATGTGAGGATTAAAAAAAGGAGAACAAACAACTCTCCTTCTCTAATTACTCAAAAAAATTCAAGAGGACAGCACTCCCAAGCTCATTTTTTGAGGCCAGCATTATTCTAATTTTAAAACTTGATACAGAGTCTTCAGGGAAAGCAAGATTACAGGCCAATATATCTGATGAACATAGATGCTAAAATCCCTAACAAAATATTACCAAACTGGATTCAACAATACATTAAAAAGATCATACACTATGATCAAGTAGGTTTTATTTCAGAGATACAAGCTTGGTACAATATTTGCAAATCAAGGGATATGATACACCATGAAAATAAAACAAAAGATAAAACCACACAATCATATCAATAGATGCAGAAAAAGCATTTGATAAAATCCAGCACCCATTTACTATAAAAAATCTCAGGAAAGTGACAATAGAGGAAGCATACCTTAACATAATAAAGGCCATACATGAGAAACCCACAGTGAATATCATAGTTAATAGGCAAAAACCAAAAGCATTTCCTTAAGAAGCAGGAACAAGACAGGATGTCCACTTTCACCACTCTTACTCAATGTACCACTGGAAGTCCTAGCCACAGCAGTCAGACAAGAAGAGGAAGTAAAAGGCATCCAAATTGGAAAGGAAGAAATTTGCAGATGATGTGCTACTGTATATGGAGAATCCTAAAGGTTCAGTCGAAAAACTACTAGAAATGATAAATTAATTCAGTAAAGTAGCAGGATACAAAATAAATTTCAGAAATCAGTTGCATTTTTATATGCCAATAATGAACTATCTGAAGAAACTAAGGAAACAATCCCATTTGCAATTGCATCAAGAAAAGCAAAGTCCCTAGAAATAAATTTAACCAAGGATGTAATAGACTTGTATTTGTAAGACATTGAAGAAAGAAATTAAAGAAGATACAAATAAGTGGAAGCACATACTGAAGTCATGCATTGGAAGAATTAATGTCATTAAAATGTCCATACTACCCAAAGCAACCTATAGATTCAATGCAATTCCTATGAAGGTACCAATGTCCTATTTCACAGAACTAAAACAGATATTCCAAAAATTTATATGGAAGCATAGAAGACCAGGAATAGCCACAGCAGTCCTGAGAAAAAAGAGCAAAGTTGTAGGGATCACACTACCTAAAATCAGACTATACTACAAGGCCATTGTAATTAAAACGTACTGGAACAGAATAAAGACCCCTAAGATAAACCCATACCTATATGATCAATTGATTTGTGACAAATAGGCAAGATTATACAATAGGATAAAAGTAGTCTATTCAATAAATGACGTTAGTAAAATAGGGCAGTATCTGCAATTTCAGTGCAAAAAAAGTGAAACTACACCACCTTCTCACATCATACATAATAATAAACTCAAAATAGATTAAAGACTTAAATGTTAGATTCAAAACCATAGTAATCCTAGAAGAAAACATAGGCAGAAAATCTAGGACAGTTCTTGTTGCATTATATTTTCTGATATATTCACTTGGACGAGGAAAACAAAAGAAAAATAAACAAATGGGACTACATCAAACTAAAAAGTTTTAGCATAGCCAACAAACCCAACAAAATGGAAAAAAACCCTATTGGGTGGGGTAACATATTTGCCAATGATACATCTGATAAGGGGGTTAATGTCCAAAATTTATAAAGGCCTTATAAAACTCAATACCAAAATAATGCAATTAGAAATGGTCAAAGGACCTGAATAGACACTTCTCTAAAGAGTGCATACAGATGGCCAATAGACATGAAAAAATGCTCAATATCACCAATCATCAGAGAAATGCAAATTAAAACCACATACCTGTTAGAACATCTATAATCAATAAGTCAACAAACAACAAGTACTGACGACAATGTGGAGAACGGGGAACCCTAGTGCACTGTTGATGAAAATGCAGACTGGTGCAGCCATCGTGGAAAGCAGTATGGAGATACTTTAAAAATTAAAAATGTTTTGACCCCGTAATTTCACTTCTGGGAATATACCTAAAGAAACCTGAAATGCTAATTGGAAAGAATTTTTGCATCTCTGTGTTCATTGCAGCAGTATTTAGAATAGACAAGATTTGGAAGCCGCTCAAGTATCCATCAGTAGATGAGTGGATTTAAAAAGCTGTGGCACATTTACAAAATGGAATACCACTCGGCCCTAAAAATCTTACCCTTTGTGACAGCATGGATGGACCTGGAGAACATTATGCTAAGTGAAGTAAGCCAGTCAGAGAAAGAAGTGCCATATGATTTCACTCATATGTGAAATGTAATGAATAAAATAAACTGATGAACAAAGTAGAAACAGAGTCATGGACACATGGAACAGACTGACAGCTGTCAGAGGGGAGGGGTGTTGGAGGAATCAGTGAAAAAGTTGAACAGATTGAACAAGAACCCCCCAAATCTTATTGAAACAGTCAACAGTATGGTGACTACCAGAGGGAAAGTGGGGTTGGTGGAAGTAGGAGAGGGTAAAAGGAAGTAAATGGTGATGGAAGGAGACTTGTCTTTGGGTGTTCAACACACAATACAGTGTAGAGATGAATTGTAGAATTGTACACCTGAACCTATGTAATTTTATTAACCAGTATTACCCCCTAGAAATTTAATAAAAAAATAAAATGACGACTGTTACAGTACTTCAAGGGGCAGGGTCATGGAGAGTGGACTTGCCCTGGAGGTCAGGGAGGGCTTCCCTGGAGGAATGAGAAGGGCCTGAAATCTCAGGCAACAGCCAGAGTCACAATGTCAGAAAGGCCAGAGGAGGAGCAAATGCAAGAAAAGGAGAGAGCCGACACCTCTAACGAAGTGACAGGTGGAAAGGAGGAATGTGAGGCCTGATGGGAGAATAAGCCAGAGAGGTAGAGAGGTAGAATAAGCCAATGGAGGGAGAGTCTTTACTTGGCTTTGTTGACCACGTAGGAAATTTGATCTTTACCGAAACCATTGGAGAGAACAGAAGAATCGCGGGAAAGGCACATAACAAAATTGAGCATTCGAACTGATCTAAGTGTCTGGCTCGAGGCGCTGTGCAAGCCGCTGGCTCCGCGCAGCTGACCCGCCCACCACAGCTCCCCCAGTGCCCAAGTTCTCACACTGGCTCAGGGATGGCATTAGCATCCATGGTGACTTTGTTTCTCAGGACTGACTGTGTGCCGGGCGGTTGTTGAGGGGCTGCGTGCGTTCTCTCGCTTGAACCTCACCAGCGACTCCTGCCATAGCTGCTGTCAGGGTCGTCATCATCACTGTTGTAACTGGGAAACAGCATTAATTACTACTAAATATTATTTCTTATTAGACATTATGTGATATTTATTACTGTAACTTCATGTACAGGGTATATAATATGTATAATGTACTATATAATAAAATTAAACAGAGTATATAATATTACATAACAATAAATAAATAAAATGTGTTATTAAATATTATTAATCACTACTATTAAATATTATCATTGAGGAATCAGTGGAGGTGGTTCCTTTCTCTTTGCCTGTTGCCATGCTGGTTTCCCTTGTGGCATAAAGCTGTCAGTGAAAAGATGCAGGCCCATAGGGTACAATTTTCCCGGCCCCATCTCTGGTCCTCAGAGTGATAGCTGAAAATGGTAACTGTCTTCTCTTTCACCTTGAAAGCCCTTACCAGAATGTGACAGAGTTCGATGGGCAGGATGCATGTGGATCCAACAGCTGGACAGTCATGGACATCAACCCACCTGTGTGGTCCAATGACCCCAAGTCCCAGAGCCACCCCCGGTGGCTCATGTGGGGTCTCAAGCCCTGGACCCAGTATGCCATCTTCGTGAAGACCTTGGTCACCTTTTCTGATGAGCGTCGCACATACGGGGCCAAGAGCAGCATCATCTATGTCCAGACGGATGCCACCAGTGAGTATGCTGTGCAGCTCAGGGGTTTGTGCAGGAACCAGATGTATTGCCTTTACCAGGCCAGTGAAGTGCTTCCATGTGTGGCTGCACCTTCTGGAAGAGCTAGTGCTGAGGTTTACCATTTCAGAGGACAAGGCAGTAGCAGCCAGCCAGCGGAGGGGTATAAATATATTTCTTCTTCTGTTGCAGAAAATTTTTAAATACTCACAAAAGTAGAAAGAAAAATAAACCCCATGAACCATCTCAGCTTCAACAATCAACATTTCCCCATTTTTCCTTATCCCCCATCCCCATCCCCATCCCTGTACCACCTTTCCCATCCCTGTTTTTTTGAGTGTTGGGTTATTACGGAATAATTCAGTTGTATCTATACTTCTCCTGTAGTGGTGGTTCTCAGTTGGGGGTGATTCTACTCCCAGGGGACCTTTCATGAGGTCTGGGGACAATTTTGGTTGTGACTGTGCATCAAGCGAGAGGAGCCTTGGGCTGCCGCTCTGCATCCATAGTGCCCAGGACAGCCGCACACCAGCAGTGCTACAGGTGAGAAACCCTGTCCTGTATGGTAGAGCGCAAACTTCATGAATCAGTCCCAGCTTTTTCAGAGAGTGCCCTCTCATCCTGTACCCTCCAGCAACACCAAAGGACATAGAATTTCTGGAAACTTCCAGCTCTCAGGCATTTGTACAGTGTCCTGTGTGTCGTTCCTCAGGACGCACTCAGCCACCTCCATTCTTGCAGGAAGGTTTTGTGCAGCCAGGTGAATGGCATCTAGCTGCCAAAATTTGCCCTGTGACTGGGGTTCAGTTTTGGGTGTTAACCAGAAAATATGAGTTCATCTCTTCCCATATCCTTTCCCCAGCATCTTTCCAGTGCCCCAGACAGAGAGCTTGGCCCATGTTGGAGCAGGGTGAGTGGAGGGACAGACGGATGCCCACGTGATCTGTGTGGTTTGTGGCAGGGATGGACTGTGATTCCATACCCGCTGTCCCTTCTGGGCTGGTACTCTATGTGCCTCCAGTTTTCTCGGATGCTGCACATCACTGCAGCAAACACCTTTAGGTTTCTCTGACCTGTGTATCCCCTCACACCTTCCCTACAGCTTGCTCCCTCCTCTTAGGGGACCTGTTTTCTTTTACCTCTCCAGATCCTTCTGTGCCCCTGGATCCCATCTCGGTTTCTAACTCCTCATCCCAGATCATTCTCAAGTGGAAGCCTCCCTCTGACCCCAACGGCAACATCGCACACTACCTGGTTTTCTGGGAGAGGCAGGCAGAGGACAGTGAGCTGTATGAGTTGGATTATTGCCTGAAAGGTGAGTGTGGGCAAATGTTCCACCTCCAGGGAAACATCTCTCCTCTTCCGTTCCCCAGTGTGTGCTCGAGAGCAGACTTGCACACACTCTGCTCCATCTCACACGGGAACACGCATGCACGTTTCTAAACATAACAGTGTGAGAGCACACTCTGAGGTCTTGTGTGGAAACCGGGTATTTCCCATGTCTTGGCATCATTTCTGTCTGGAATTTTCTCCTTTTCCCCACCCCCCTCTTCCTTTCCCACCCTGCCTGGTGGAGATGTTGCTGTGTTCACCCACAGGAGCCTTCCTTGCTAGACTAGCAACAACTGAGCGTGCTGAGAGGTGCTTGAAGGAGTCAGGGAAGGACTTCAGCCCTCAATTTGGACCTTCAAGTTTTAAAGGAGTGACAATCTCTTTCCTCCTGTGCTTTCTGTTAGAAATTTGTACTGATGGTGATTTTCTTCAGCCTTTCATCTTATTTACTTAATGGGTTTCCTTCTTTCTACAGAAAAAAAATGAAAAAATATTTGAAGCCTCAAACTAGTTTGTATAAATTAGTTTAAGCTTATTTTTAAAATGTCCATGGCTGGTGTGGCTTAGTGGTTGAGTGCCAGCCAGCAAATCAAAGGGTCCTTGATTCAATTCCCAGTCAGGGCACATGCCTGGGTGTGGGCCAGGTCCCCAGTAGGGGGCACTCGAGAGGCAACCACACATTGATGTTTCTCTCCCTCTCATTCTCCCTCCCTTCCCCTCTCTAAAACATAAAGTCTTCAAAAAATTTATGTTTTACTGGACTTTAGACTCCAGCAAGCTGCAGAAACAGGTAATTTTTTTCTTTAATTGTTTTTTTATTGTATTCATTTTTCTATAGGTTGTTTTGTGGTTTTTTTTTTTTGAGTTAGTGATCTTTAGCCTTTGACCTTGGGGCTGCTGGAGAGGCATGGCTAAGGCCAGGAGCTCTTCATCATTTCTGGGCTGGACCTCCGACCTGCTGTAAGGCTCTGAGCAAGTCACTGAGCTTGTCACCAGCTGCCTCCTTTTTGGGAGAAAGGGCAGAAGTCCAGGTGATTTCTGGTAGCTGTCCCAGCTGCAGGATAATGGGCTATGTTTATTGTATGCCTGAGACCTCATTTCCTGCCTTAGCTAAGGGCTGCAGGTGTGATTTATTTCCACAGATGCTTTATATAACTTGAGAGCAAGCCCAGTTGTGACCTCAGCTATGAACTGCTTGTCCCACATCAGAAACAGAGACTGTCAACTTTTTCTTGTTTTTTTTAACAGCAAAAACTTTTTTTAAGATTTATTTATTTATTTATTTTAGAGAAGGAAGGGAGGGGGAGAGAGAGAGAGAGAGGGAGAGAGAGAGAGAGAGAGAGAGAGAGAGAGAGAGAGAGAGAGAGAGAGAGAGAGAGAGAGAGAGAGAGAGAGAGAGAGAGAGAAATATCAATGTGTGGTTGCTGGGAGTTCTGGCCTGAAACCCAGGAATGTACCCTGGCTGGGAATCGAACCTGGGACACTTTGGTTCCCAGCCCGTGCTCAATCCACTGAGCTACACCAGCCAGGGCCAGCAAAAACTTTTTAAAAAATTTTTATTTATTACTTTTTGTTCTGGAATTCTAAATCTATCATTGCAGTGTGACTGTTTAAACATGGCTTGACTTCTGATGATCCCAAAGTTTTGTGTAATTAAAAAAGAAACCTTCTGAGGCTGGATATGGTGTGACCCACAGGAGATCCCTAGAGGACTCAGATCCACAGAGACAGTGAGTAGATGGTGGGGCAGGGGCTGGGGGAGGGGGAGGAGGTTAGTGTGTAATGGGGACAGAGTTTTAGTTTGGGAGGGTGAGAAAGTCCTGCAGATGGAGGGTGGGGATGGCTGCATAATAATGCGAGGGGACTTAATGCCACTGGACTGTGCGCTTAAAAATGAGTAAGATGGTGAGTTTTATGTGAGGCATATTTTACTATAATTTTAAAAAAACCCAATGCACACACAACTCTATAAACTTACTAACACACTCAAAATAATTGAATATACTAATCATGACTAGTAGTGACTTCTTATTAGTGTCCAATATTAGTTTTTGTTTAGCTTTATTGAGGTCGCTTACAATTAAAATTGTAAGATATTTGTACGTATTTATTTAATATTTGATATTAATTATCTGTTACTTAACTTTTAAATATCATACAAATTAAAATTCTAAGATATCTAAAGCATACATTGTGATGATTTGACATATGTTCATGTACATTGTGAAAAAACCCCTCCCATCTACCATATTTTTAGGACTATTAGATGCACCTAGGTTTTAGAGGGGGAAAATAGGAAAAAAAATTTTGAAGCAAAAAATCTGATAAAATATGTAATAACCTGTTCCACCACTGCTGGGGAATTCATCTCAGTCTGAAAAATAGGGTAGTTACTTAATATCCATCCATCATCACACACATCCACCCTTTCTTGTTTGGTGAGAACATTTAGAATGCATGTTAACTCAGCATATTTAAATTATACAGTACAGTTTTATCAACTGTATGGCTTTTTATTGTGATAAAATACATGTGACATAAAATTTATCATTTTAATCATTTTAAGTGTCAGTTCAGTGGCATTAAGGACATTTACACTGTTGTGCAGCCATCACCACCACCATCTCCAGAACCTTCTCATCCTCCCAAACTGAAACTCTGTCCCATTAAACATGAACTTCCCATCCCCTCCCCCAGCCTGTCTCCCACCATCTACTCTTTGTCTCTATTTGAGAGTCCTAGGGATGTCATTATGCTTTATAGTCACAGAATACCATGGGACATCAAGTGTCATGAGTGGGTACCACAAAGGGTAACAGGTATCAGGAGCTATGCTTGCACCCGATCAGAAGTCCCTTCTCTCCAGAAAATTGTCAGAACATGCCCCCCTCCAAACCTCTACCCTGCCATGAAGGAAACCCAAGTTTTTTCTATCTATAATGCCGTGATTGGCCTTTTAACAGTTACCCAGCCAGGTTATTCCATGTCGACTAATAAGTGTAAGAAGTACTTTTAAGAGTCCCTTGTAGCCCTGAAAGCTGTGTAAGTACTTGGGCTTCTAAATAGATACTCACCATTCATAGAAGGATACTTAGGTCTCATTGTCTAAGGGACCCATTCAAGGGGAGGGGAAGGCTGGAAGTGCCTTTGCTCAGCAGGCACTAGTAGGCACCAGATAGCAAAGGCTGGTGGCAGGAAAGCAGACTCCGAAGGGCTGTCATGGACTTTGCCCCTAAGGAGTAGTGTGCATTCTTGGGGCTGCACCAAAAGTGTGGCTGTGCAGTTTGACTGCAAGGGTCAAGACACATCCAGCTGTGTCACTTAGCAGCTATGTGTTTACACAACTGCTATGTGGAGAGGTTGTTTTTGTTTTGTTAATTCCCTTTCCTAAGCTGATTCAAACAATTCCTCCCTCACCACCCCCCACTCTCCTCTCATGTCTTTAGTCCAGGGTTCCTCTGCTCAGCAGTGTGGGCTTTCCAGGCCCAGGACCCCTGGGGTGAGGCCATCCTGCAAAGTACAGGCCAACCAGCAGCAGCCCAGCCTCTGCCCTTTGGAGGCCAGTAGTCCCATCTCCCCCGACACATCCCAACTACCAGCACTACCTCCAGATCTTGCCCAGTGTCCAGTGGTGCAAAATCAGCCCCTGGTGAGAACCACTGCTCTGATCTGACTTAGGAATTCCTGAAGGAGCTGTAAATTGTGGTATTTGTGCTTCACAGTTTGGTGACTCAGTGTGATCATCGGGTCTCTGAGCCAAACCCCTTAGAAGTCCTGGTAGAATTCTGCTCTGTCTTCTGGCCTCCATAGTTATGTGGTTGATTGATTGGCTTGATTCATTCATTCCACTGTGACTTGGCACCCCTGCTCTTTTCTAACCCTTCCTCCCACTCTTCTCTCCCACATCCTCTTTTTGCTACATTGGGTCCTTGGTGTCTTTCAACATGCCAGGAAGTTCCTACCTCAGGGCCTCTGCAAATGCTCTGTGCTCTGTCTGAATGGCCTGATGCTGCGATGCATGCACAGCTCCTTCCTGTACTTCATGCAGGACTGTTCAGCAGCCACTCTTTCTGAAACCTCATGATAAAGAACACTCCCTTCCTTATCCTCTCCTTTGACCCTGCCATTGGACCCATGGAAGATTGATTTATTAGTTTATTGTGTGTTCCCTATTCTTCTCAGCAGCACCCGTGCACTAGAAAGTTCCATGAGGAAAGGGGCAAGCCTGGCTGTCCAACAAAATCTCCAGCCCTGTGGTGATTTGGTAGTGTCTGGTAGTGTCTGGAACATGCCCCTTCTCAGTTGGCACTGTTTGGACTCTCCCGTGCAAGGGCTTTTCACAGTAGAACTTGAACCCAGACCCTAGCTCCAAGCTCTGTCCTGTGTGCCCAGCTGCTCTGAGCAGGTCCCCTTTGTTCTGCTTGTGTATATTTCTGGGAGATTTGAGTCCATCTGTTCTGCCCTTCTGCAGGGCTGAAGCTGCCCTTGCGGACCTGGTCCCCACCGTTTGAGTCAGAGGGCTCCCAGAAGCACAACCAGAGCGAGGACGAGGAGTCTGCTGTGGAGTGCTGCTCCTGCCCAAAGACCGATGCTCAGATTCTGAAGGAGGTGGAGGAGTCCTCCTTCCAGAAGACATTTGAGGATTACCTGCACGATGTGTTTTTTGTCCCCAGGTAAGGGGCTTTCATTGATTTGGGGTTGGAGGTCGGGGGTCATGACCTAGGGAACGAGATGAGGCAGGGACCAAGAGAGTCTGTGCTGAGTCCCTTCCCTGCACGGAGGAAGAGAGCCCATGATTTCAACAGGACCCTTACTGTCAATATCAAATATTCATCAAAGAGGGGGAGAGTTTAGAAAACTTAACCTTTGCTTTTCAACTCTCCAGCATAGATACTTAGCCTCCAGTATTGATCCAAGTTCTTAGACAAACTTTGTAAGGTTACTAATGTCAGTCTTGAGAAATGGCCTAGGCTTGATTTGTCACCAAGTTTCAAGCTGAGAGCATTCTCTTTTTAAAATCTATGTCAGCTTCTCATCCTTCTGGAACTTTCTACAGCATCTTCAGACCCAGAGACTTCTTCTATTTAAATATGTTGCATTTCCCATTAGTT